ATAATCTGTGAGCGCTGTATTTTTCCCAGGAAAAAACTTTTGCAATTAGCTAGCTAGACTTTATGATACAAATGGGAGATGAAGGAGAGATGAAGACAAAGGCTGTGTCTGTCCTCTTAGGAACACAAAGATGACATGAATGAACACACTAGCTTTGGCAGGAATGGGGAAAACAGGTTTAATTAGCTAAAGTGCTCCTCCCTGAACCCAGCCAGCAAAGATAGCCACCAGCAGAGAAAAAGTCTCCGTCTGAGTCAGGGATGTGGGTAGTGGTGACTTTTGATTAATGCTTTGGCACTACTTGTAACTTACCGGGTGCTTTGTACTCTCGGAAGGTATCATTCACAAGGGGAAGAAAAATCACGATCGGACATCCTGGCAAATCTGAGTCTTGGAAGATGTAGCACTCCTTCAGATTCTTCTTATCTTCATCAGTCAAAGAAATTTTGGGGAATGGGATTTTCTGCTGTGAGTAGTATTTGCACGTCTTATCTAAAGCCTGGAGTATCACATAAACGGTCAGCATTGCAATTAAACTCGGTTGTCTTTAAGCCTCCAAATTGTTATCTAGTATTAAGGTTTAGTGACTCAGATGCATAGGGTGGATTCCTTCTTATCAAGGGTTACTCTACACATAATTACCACATATAGTAAGCAGAACACTAATCACAAACTGTAAATACAATTTCAGAGTTAGAGAACTCATTCAGGACAATGCTTTTTAAAAAATGGTAGCAATTTGCAGAAGTTTAGGGTGAAGTATGTAGTTTTAGTAAATGAAAGAGCCTGTGTTTAATATCTTGTATAGAATTAACTAGAAAAGAAAACCACAGCAAGGAAATATTTAAGGTATCTCATTACATGCTTGGAAGCCAGGAGATAAATAAGTTAAGTTTGAATGGGCAATTATGTCTCTGCCTGTGCAGACATTATGGCAGGGTTAATTGAAATTTGTATTTTACTGAGAAAGTTTGAAGTACTCGGCTATACTTTACCTTTTCCTCAATATGTTTAATACAATATCATGTCTTACTATGTACTGTGTTATTTACTCTGCACCATCTAACAGTGGACACTACCAAATAGGAAACAGATTCTACTAAAGTGCTTAAAACTGCAGCAGCCTTCCTTCATAAAATTAATTTTGACAATGTATGAGGCTGAAATGAAACTTCATTACTTGTATGTCTCATGCTACTATTAATAGTAGCACAGCTGTTGTCATTCACAAAAAAATAATTTCACTTAAGTGGGCCCAGATATTTAACAATGAGTTTCTAACTAACTTCAGTCTCTGATATGTAAAGACCCAAACTTCTTTTCTGCAAGGCCTTGTAGACAGCTTATTAACTTTATCTCCATGACACTGGATTTTCTGCAGGAAGATGCTTGTAATTGAATTTTCCTAGTAGCATCTTATTTGTCAGCTCAGAAATGATCTGTCTCTGACTATCCATGTAACTTATACTCTGACTTAAGTCAGGAGAAATTGCTTCCTCATCTTTATGCATATTCCTGAACAGGGTCTGGAAACCTGCTTGAATCAGTATAAAGCAGAAGAGGCTTCTCCCATCATTCTGCAAGACACCGTGCTGATGTCTCCTTGAATAACTCAACATGTTCATAAACCAGTAAGAGAGATTCCAGCAGTGGCAGGAAGAAAAAGGAACAATATTAATTACTACTGTGAAAAACGTAGGGGAATGCAGTAGTTAAAGACTGAAGAGCTGAAATAACTAGCAGATCTGGGCACTACAGACTAGACATTTACAAGCAAAAACAGAGACAACACATGGTAACAAGATCCTCCTCACCGATGTATGAGATCCAGTAGTATAACTTAAATATATGATGACATCCACTTTCCTCTGTGGCCTTAAAAGTGGTGGACTGCTGGTATTGATGAAAAATCCAGCATCTATCATGCCCAGGTGATCGGAATTTTGCATCAGCTGGTTGGGACGTGAGTCTAACACAGTGTCTAAAGTGAAAATATTTATTGGAATTAAGAAATGATCTGGAGATATTTTGACTGGAAAAAGCAATGCAAGGTGAAACTGACCATCCCAGAGGCCTGGTTTCATTTAGTTGCCACGCTACTGGATTGTCAAATAGGCGTGGAAGAGACTGCAAAATGCTACCTAAGTTCCTGTTCTGAAAAATCTTCTATGTTGAAATTTCAAGCAACCTATTACAGCAATTTGTTATTAGTATGTCAGTAAGCTATTTCTTATCATGGAATCATAGAATGGTTTGGATTGGAAGGGACCTTAAAGATCAACTAGTTCCAACCCCCCTGCCATGGGAAGGGACACCTTCCACTAGACCAGGTTGCCCAAAGCCTCATCCAACCTGGCCTTGAATATTTCCAGGGAGTGGGCATCCTCAACTTCTCTGGGCAACCTGTGCCAGTGCCTCAAAACCCTCAGAGTGAAGAAGTTCTTCCTTATCTCTAATCTAAATCTACCTTCTTTCAGTTTAAAGCCATTACCTCTTGTCCTATCACTACACGCCCTTGTAAGAAGTCCCTCTACAGCTTTCTTGTAGGTCCCTTTTAGGTACTGGAAGGCTGCTAGAAGGTCTCCCCGGAGTCTTCTCTTCCCCAGGCTGAACAAGCCCAACTCTCTCTGCCTGTCTTCATAGGAGAGGTGCTCCAACCCTGAGATCATCTTTGTGACCCTCCTCTGGACCCACTCCAACAGCTCCATGTCCTTCTTGTGTTGGGGACTCCAGAGCTGAATGCAGTATTCCAGGTGGGGTCTCACAAGAGCAGAGTAGAAGGGCAGAATCACCTCCCTCAACCTGCTGGCCACACTTCTTTGGATGCAGCTGAGGATACAGTTGGCTTTCTAGGCTGCAAGTACACATTTCTGGCTCATGCTGAGCTTCTCCTCAACCAGCACTCCCAAGGTTCAATCCATTCTCTGCCAGGCTGTACTTGTGCTCGCGATTTCCCCAGCCCGTGTGCAGGACCTTGTACTTGGCCTTGTTGAACTTCATGAGTTTCGCACAGGCAACTTAACCTGAATACTTAACCTAAATCTCCCTTGCTTCATTTCAATCATTGTTTCATCTTTTATCCGTCACTGATTCAGAGTATGAAATATTCCCATTTCTTTTTACATATGAATTTATGTCTCCTCTCCGTCTAGTCTTCTTTGGGCTACAAAGTCCCATTCCTTTCCAGCTTTCTCTTGTAGGTTGTATTTTTGGGGATATTCTAGTTAAATCTGAAGTTAGAGGCACAGTTCTGCCAAATTCAGTGCTCTCCCACGTTCACTCTGCTTTTGCTGCTTTAAATTCGGTTCTGTCAGCTGTAAGCCTGCCCTTCCAGTCTGGACCACAGAGATCTCAGCTAAAGCACATAAACACATGATTATATTTAAAAAGTCTTAAATACCTGGCAACACTGAAGTCTTAGTCTCTTCACTCCATTCAGAAACAAAATGTTCTTTCAGAAGATTTTTTTTTCCTCTGCCGAGCATGACAGGATTCCTTCCTAAATTCCCCACCCCAAAACCACCTGAAAATGATGCCTGTTAAATATTAGCCGCCATTACCTTTCCATTTACAGAAGTGTGCATTCTCCAGGTAGTTGCTATGCAGCTGGTAGCCCTTCAGGAAATTGTGGTGCTGGGCAACGGAGAAGCGGTCAGTCAATGCTCCCCGAAGGGCGCTGGACAGGGGACCGGGAGGAGTGTACATGCGAGTCCTCAGCTCATGAGGTCTTGTAGGCAACACCGGATCTTCATCTAGAGGAGGGCAGAAAAATCAGTGAACTGTTTGTTATTGATGATCCTTTCTGGTTGTCCTCGTGTGTAGGAAATCTCAGGGGTTGTTCTGGGACAATCCACTAAACACACAAAAACTATTCTGAAGGAGTGGAGTGGCTGCTGGACAAAGCTTTGGCCTGAAGTTCATCAGAAGCAGTGTTTAGCAATAGAAAAGGGACACCTCAAGGGAACTAAGCAATTCAGAGAACGTCCTGTCAGGAAGAAAACTACGTATCCTCACAAGAAGATATGAAACAGAGGCAAGCATGGAAAAAATGGGGCTGAAGTATATGCTCCCACTCAGTCAGATGGGCAACCACAGGGCACCACAGGGTCCATTGCAACAGTGACAGCATCTACCTGATAATCCTCCATGGCTACATAAGCATATGCTTAACCAGTAGAACGAGAGTGTCCTAGGAAAACCTAGGACATACATTCATATTTAGAAACTACAGGTAGTTTTCAGGGTGACTGCATGGCAGCATATGTGGGTGCAAAGTAGAAATGGCACAAGGTGTGGTTTCTTGAAATCACAACCTGCTTTGCTGGACTGAGTGGCTGATGGTGCAGCAGAAGAGACTTGGTGGCTTCCGTGATTGCACAGATGTGATTCTTTATTTCTGGGATGTCTGTAATTACAGTTACTATCATATTAAATGATTTAGCAATAAAACCGTGATTTCCGTATTGCTTCAGAAAATAGCCTCTGGGCTTCATTTATCTTTGTGCCAGGATGAATCCAATGCAGTAATTACAGTACTGAGTAATAAAATAAAACCCCAGGAAATATTGATTAGTCAATTGATAATTCAGATTTATTCTCTGCACAGGCAGTAAAAATACCTTTATTCTCTGCCACTGGTTCTTGGTTCTGTATGGCTGAGTGAGAACGGGCAATGCCAAAACACCTCCTGAGAAATGTGTGACCGCTCTAAAGATTCCTTTTAAGGACAGAGCCTTTTAATCAGTAAGGTTTTAGTAAGTCTAGTAATTACAGCAGTGATTCCCTGATTACCCTCCCCCTCTTAGTCTTTACGGTGGGAGAGGAAGTTGTTATCTCGTAGGAGATGCGGGCTTCAATGTAGTTGACAGGATGATGCCAAAAGACGTCCAGAAAACTAAGTGACCATAAATGAAAGGCTTAATAGTTTCTCACCAACTTCTTCTATTCTGTCCTGTGTCCATCTCTTCCAGAAGTCCTCTGAACTGTGGGACAGTCCCCATATTTGTAACAGGTTCACCGAAAATATACTGCTCCACATACCTGTAAAGGGAATGAGTGAATACAAGGACACATTTTAATAAGAAACTGCCTTTTTTCTTCTCTTTCAATCTGTTGGATTAATTTTTGAACAGGCTTAATTAAAATATTTCTACACTTCTGGGCTGTTGAATTTCTTTTAACTTTCTATGGCATTGGCTCAGGTCACACTGCTGTCAGTTATGCATCTACCCTACTGCATGGCTCTGCCGCATGATAAAGAGGGAGAAAAAAGGGAGAGAAGCAAAATAAGAGCTCAGGTAATGCAGAGGGGTGAACTGGTTTTTCAGCCATTCCGTTTGTAAGAGAAGGTCTCACACTTTACACAGCACGTTAACGCTCACAGACAGAATGGGCTCCTGCTCCACTGTGCACTCTTTTCTCCATCCAGGATCACCCTTCTCTGCCTCCCCACTGGTGGCTTTGTTGAAAAAACACAATGCTGCCATTTCATCTGCTATTGTAAATTTAAATATGTATTCTCATCAGTCTAGCACAAACGGACTTCCTAATTTTCAGTCAGACACAGAAACCAATATAGCATATACAGTATGTAGAAAATTAATTTCCCAGTGGTGGACCAGGTAAAAGGGACCAGCCCAAGAGGTACTATTTTAAATATATCCCTTGCAATTACAGACTATTTAATATCACAACACGTTTTTACTAAAACCGAGGAGCTTCTAAGCAGCACAAGTGTAAGAAGACATGAACTGAAACTGAACTCGTTCGTTCACCTGCCAGTGATTCTGACTCCTCAGTAAAGCGATATTATTACTTTTACACTCAACCCACCAGTATAAGTCAGAGACTGACCAGAGAGGTTCAGAGACCCTTTGCTTCTAGTCTCATTTTTCATCCTGGGCAGCCTGAATCTTTAGAAGATGGGATTCTCTACACAGGGTTGAAGTTAAACCTTGCAGTGGAAGTACAGCTGCAGGTCTCCTGCAGTGTCAAAATTCTCATAAATTGGAGCATCCTCAGAGAGGAATTGGAAGAATAACCAAAGAAGTGGGAAACGTTCCTTACAATGAAAGAATTAAGGAGCTTCATCTATTCCATCTATAAGACATAATGCTAAAAAAATTGTGCATACCAAGACAGCGACAAGAAATTGAAAAAAGATGTGGGATTTTTTTACTATGACTACAAACTACCACACCACCCGTTTCATGGCAGGTGTTATCATAGCAGTGTTCAGTACGTTAGCCCAGAAATAATCCCCCTCTGGTTAACGGCGTTGCACTGCTCCAAAGCCCCTCTGTGCAAGGGCAATGCAATACGTCACCTTGAAGGTAGCAGATCCGGGATTCGGGGAGCTTTTTTAACAAACGTCCCATGAAGAACTCACTTCCAAAATGCTCTGTGCGAATGAAGGCACCATACTTCGGCAGTCCCACCTCATAGGGGGTGAACTCCACCCACTCTGCAATACAGGCACAATGAGACAGACACTTAGAGGGTTGCCAGGCTCTCAGCCGGGTGTGGAGAGGGGCGGCAAGGGCACAAACCGGCCTGACCTGTTTGCTACACTGCCTTTGCAAAGCTTTGCTCATGGATGACCGCCTGCAGGACCAGGCAGCTGAGCTCAGACACCGGCAATGGGGAAGCAGGGGCAGGAACGGGGCTCACCACGGTGCTGCCAGTGGCACCAGGTGCACGCTGGAAACACAACAAGGCTCCAGCTCTTACACACCCCATGTGCACGCACCAGTCCAGGGTTCTCCAGCGTGTACAAGGTTTTGCTCTGCCCTAGCATACGTCACATCTAGGTGAAAATACTTTCACTGTTATCCATGCAGTTAATTTAACTTCCCTTGAATAATTTTATCTACAAAGACAGGTACTCAACTCTTCAGAAACTTTTTTTTTTTTTCTGAGAGGCCAATTATACTCTTTATGTGCAGTACTAAGGAAGACAGAACTAGTCCTTGACTTTCTCGAATACCCTCTCCAAGTGAAGTGCAGTCGTCTGATGTAACTGCAATGTGAGCAAAGACTGGGACAGAAAGGCCACGGACCGTAATGTCTTTTTTGTTCAGAAGTGGTTCATTCTTTCACTGCAGTCATAAAGTTTGATCTGAATTTCTTCACTGCCTGTTCTCCTCCTCCAGCTGCTTCTCCTCATGGAAAAAAATAACCAAAACAATGAGCAAAGCAGAAGATTTGGAGTAGGTTGGATGTTTTCCCAAACTTTACAACTACGTGGTCTTTTTTCATATTGAAACCATAACTGGGCATGGACAAAAAGCAGTATTTAATTCTCGGACTACTTCTCATTCTAGGTGGATCAGATAATATTTCAAAAATGGCCTTTCTGGCAGCATTTTGACTATATATGTCTAGACAGTGAAATGCTGATCTCAAAAAGCTCTTGTATTAAAATTGTAAGGCATGAAGGTGATGGTTATTTCTCCAAAAAGCTACTAACACGCCAGGACTGCTTTCTTCAAGTGCTACCAAGCAAAGAAGAGCAAATTACAGGACTTCAGTTGCCAGTTTTAGCCCCTTCGGATCTGAAACCTCATCCTTACCTTTGAAATCATTGGTGCTGTAGCTATCCCGGACGCTGACTGACACATAGATGGGTAGCGGGTTCTGGCCATCACACAGTGCTTCTTGCTGGTCTGAAAGTTTGTGGGGGTCTTTCTGGTTTTGAAGAAAAACAGTTACATGAGAAGAGATGAAAATGACGCATGGTGAATTCGATGGCATCAGTGCTGGAGGAGCCGGGCGACCCTGCCCCTAGCATGCAGGATGTGCCATGGCAACTCTATGGCACAGAGCACTGCAGGCACCCACCCACTGGTGACAGACCAGTTTCCCAGGGTCCAGCCTGACTTTGTGCACACATTCACAAAGAGACAAGGAGAGGGAAAACTACTTCTGCATAGATGGCTGTACATACTAGAAAGTACTGCCCTGGCAAGTAGGAGAAGGGAGAAGCTGTCCCTTAGGGTGAGGAGGGTAGTGTGCAGTCCTTGCTCTCCTGGGGCTGAAAGAAGGCTTTGAGCATGTAGGCATTGAGTTTCCTTTCTTAGTACACAACAGCTATCACAATCCAGCCTTGCAAGGGGTCTGGAATTTGGCAGTAAATTATTTGCATCCTACCCAGTTTCTTTTCTGGAAAAGTATATTCTCATCGAAGAGGTTTGTAAAAATTATAACATCTCATTAACTACTGACAAATTTAAGAGCAGCTAGTTCTGGTTAGAGTTTGTTGACATGGAGAACTCCATTCTGTTTTGAGGTACGGTCTCTGAAAGGGTGAGCTAGTTTCCTCTCCATTCACCAAGGGAAAAATTCGTGGTTAATGGAATATACATCATACCCCATCATTTAGTAAGTACTCAATCATGAGCCCCCAAAGATCTATAAATGATGTCCTGTATCCCTCTTCTCTCCGCTGACAAAGCTGCTTGTTGTAGTACTTCATGCGATCCATAGAGAAACAGCCCATCTTGCATTTGGTTGCTTGTTTCTGGGCTTCACCAATATGCCAGTCTAGGTCCTTCTGTGACCAGTAGGCATCTCTGTATAAGTTGGCCATGGTCCTGGAGAAAGACAATACAGACAGCAAAAGTCAAAAGGAGCAAAAAAAGACTTGAAATTTTGTGCCTTTGAGGACAAGAGGTATACATTTATGGATTCGCTTCTGCTCATACATACTCTGGTTTTCCTGCTCCATTCAGCAGAACAAACACTCCAGAATTTCTATGACTGTTTTAAAGATGGCCCTGAAGGATAAAGGTGTTTTTTTTTTTATGTTCTTGACTTTTTAAGGGATAAAATTGTCAAATGTGAACATAGGTACATTTCTGAAGTACAAATTAGGTAGAAAATGATAATAAATTTTCTTTGCTTCTTTTCTAGAACCATAAATCAGTACACACCAGCTGCTGTCTCTTGGCTTTTTATCACTTGGTGCTAATCTTATGGTATCACTATGCTTTATTTCAACACTATCCTCTGTTTTACCAACCTTCCCTAAGTGGGACCATCAGATGTTGTGCAGTTGTAGGTCCTGTGAGCAGGGAACAACACTGCCCATGGGAACTCAGTCCTTTCCCAGACTGACAGTTGCAGGACTAAGTGTGCACTGTCCTGCAGTTTTCTCTGCGTGACCAGTTAGAAAGCAGAGCCAGCCTCAGAAGTCACTGGGAACAGCAACAACTGGGACATCACTGGAGAGAGGAAGAGACATGATGTTGTGGGCAGTCTTACATCCACAGTAACTACTTGCTTAGAAACCATTTTGACAAGTGTAATTATCATATACATATTTAACTGCTGCAAACGTGGAGTTGAAAATCACAGTAAAGAATTGCTAATAAAGAATCGGTGCATCGGATCAAGCTAATACTTAATGGCCTCTTACTGAGAAGCAGCTCATTTCTGTGATGTTTGAGGAAAATCTCCTGATCTTATCTGCTTTCAGAAGCTCCTCTCTGCAGCAGTGTCACCCTCAAAACGCCTGGTCAAGCCTCCCGCACGAGCTGGCTTACCACGTGGTGCCGGACAACCCGCTGATGTATGTTACGCAGTCCAGGAGATTTAATTTCTTGAGTCCCATGAGGCTGCCGTATAGTCCTGTCATTGACTTCAGTCCTCCACCTGTTGTGATGATAGCCACAACGGGGACCTGTTGGGCAGAGGAGGATGGAACATTCACACCAACAGCGTTCAACATGGCATCCCAGACTGCAATGAGATCTGGCCACCACACCCAGTCCAGATCCTGATCTCAGAGCCCAGGTCCCTTTTTGGAAGGAAAGGATCCAAAACCAAGCAATGGCTGCTGCTGCTGCTGCTTTCCTTTGGAGGAACATGGATTCAGAGATTAACCCAAACCTGGGTTCTCATTCATCTCTACGATAAAATAGCGGCAAAGATGAACAAGAAGAAACCCTCCTGTGGAGACAACAATGTATTTCCCACTTTTTTCTTATTTCATACATCTGCTACTACTGTATGAAAATCCCAAATCCGTGAAGAAATACAGTCAATTCACAGCCAGTGTTGTTAGGCTACCCTCATCGATGCTTATTCTTCAGTATCATGAAGTTACTTTATAATAAAGTATTTTTATTTTAAGGGATTTCAAAACTGCAAGGAAGGGAAGATATTATAAGAAACATTCAGAAACGTTTATCCTAAACTCTCACAAAATGATGAAATTTGAACAAGGGAAGAAAACTTTGCTATGTAATATATTTAATACGTACAAAGCATTTCTGAACCAAGCCAGTGGTGGTTCGCATAGGGTGGTAGGGATGAACACACCTCAAATCTGACAAATTCCAAATTGACACTCATGAGGGATGCAACTACTGCAACTAGTTCTTCTTGCAATGGCAAACCTTGGCAGCAGAAACAAATGCACTTAAGACACAAAGACAAGCTGGTACCCGCCCATTTTGCTGACCACTCATCCAGAAGAGTACATGAAGGCACTAGAAATTCAAGATCTACCTCCCACAACACACACGTACTTCATGATCCTGCAGATCCTGTTGCAGGTGAAAAACATTTTTCAGGGCACTTGCTACATATCTCTTTCTTTTCCCCAGGAAAGCCATCTCCTCTGAACATAAGCTGAATCCAAAGCGCATGTCCAGATCTTGGTGGCACGAACAATTACTAAGATAAAAACAGGCACATATCTTACATATTAACACACCCGTATCAATCTTAAGACTTTGAACAAAGATAATCTACAGCACCCTTCCCTTCAAACAGGGTGATGTAATGTGACAGGAGCAAGAGAGAATATTCTGACTATTTTTAAAAGAAAATTTATTTCAGTAAGTGAGCTTAACCAGTGGCATTAAATAACACAAATACTCTGTTATTACTATTAGATGAAGAAACACTGTATTTACAAATGAAAGGAAATATTTAAATGAATATTCTAAACCAAAAAAAAATTACAAGTTTCAAAAATCTGTGCAAATGGTCAAAAGTGAGCGTATTGATTCTCATTTCACGAGATATTTTCTCATTCTAAATCTAAAATAAAACCCAATTTTCAATGTTGGCATTTCCCACGTGAAGGAAAAACATCGTTTTGAGCAACTCACATGGGAACGCATCCCCCTCTAGTGGTGAGCGTCCCTGAGGCGAAAACCCATCCACCCACCCGCCAGGCACGGGTGGCCGTGTAACCCTGCTCGCTGGAGGGATGGCCTCGGTGACATGAAGCCCCTGGATGGATGGAGACGGGTCACTGAGTTTAGTGGGGCAGGATTTCACCCCTGCTGCTCTAATGTGACTGCACTTGCACAAGCTGTCTCATGAGTCAACGCTGGCAGTTGTATTTCACGTCAACCTTGATTAAGAAATTGTAAAGTTTAGTATTCCTCAGAGGAAGATTTTATTTACATCAGTTTTGAAACTGAGTAAGCTTATTTCCCTGAGCATTTGTGCTCTTCCTTTTGCTCACCTCCCTCCTCTCTCTTCTCACCACGCCTAAAAGACAGCAATGGGCAAGAGATTTGGCATGGTGTCTTCAGACCAGAGCTACCCATGGGCTCCCTGGCTGGCCAGCAAGCACTAGCCAGGCACTGTAAAATGACAGGGCTTTGCTTTTTCTTGCAGTGACAGAGCTTCTCTCTTCTACTGAATGCATGATTTCAATGAAACAAGTAATTACACTTATTTATGAGATTTCTCCATCATCAGATTTGGATAAAATCAGTCAAATGATTACAACTGTATTTGTAAATGAAGACATGCAAGGGGAACTGAGTTGGGTGGAGCTGCAAAAGCCAGTTTCCATTGTAAATCAAGATACAAAAAAACAACTGCTTTTAAAGTTCTCTGAACGTAAATTAAATAAACGGGAAGCCTCTTTCTTGTTTTGGAATAACACTGTTTTTCCTATTGTCATTGATCACTTGCCTTTCTGAAATGAATAACAGAAAATTCTGTTTGAATTCAAAATTATTTTTCCCTTTTATTTCCTGGTCAAGCATACACACACACACAAGATCAGTTTGCCCAGTTTTGTGTTACGTATGTTTATAGATAACAGAAAACATCTTCATGTTTACTCATGTGTATTAATGAGCATGTCTATAGATGTCGAATCACTAGCCTCATTGTCTGCCTGAGTTTCTACTCAATATACAGTATAATGGGACTTAACAAGATTTATCGCTACTGAATATTGACAGTTAAGAAAAAAAGTGTTCATAATTTCTGATCAAGTTTAGCATTTACTCTCGTCCATTCTGTTTTTTTATTCAGCTTTGTCCTTTTTGTGAATTTCAGAGACTGACATTGATCAAAAATAATATTCTGCAGTCAGAAGGGAAGGGATAAAACTAAAATAAATACATGTTTATCAACATTTATTGATTAAAGCCAAATATTCCTAAGGCTAATTATGTATTATATACTGCGCATATATTTTATGTTTTATTAAAAGCATGTTCTAGTTTTCAGACTGCGAATGCTTGTATCACGTTCATGTGGCTAAAAAAATATCAAAATCAGTAACCCAAGTCTTCAGGAATAGAAGAAGATCTCTTACCAGGTTTGTGCTCTCACATTCAAGTCAAATCTTTTCTCCTAGAAAATAAGAATGTGAACTGTAATTTTTTTATTTTCATTTTAAAATTTCATTTTTCCCTTTCTGTCTTGGGGTCAGAGCTTGATTTAGACCCCAGCAAGGTCTGGCAATCACAACGTTAAATGTCTGAGATATCGGCATATATTTCTAAAAGCGTTCACTTAACCTTGGTGGAACATCCCTACCCACAGATCCCAAATGCTTCCAGACTGCAGAAATCATTAGTTATCTTGGTATGGGAGGTTCCTGAGACTCATGCAGTAGGTTTTATTTCCTGTGTTATTCACAAGCTTTCTGCAGCACCCTGAAATACCATGTTTTGTACGTTTCCCGTTCTTTATGCTCTAGTACACAGCAGATCTTTAACATCCTGGCCACAGTCTCACAGTGAAGAGACTGCAAGTCTGTGTTTGCTGCTTCCAAGACTTCATCCTGTCTTAAAAATTGTTATTGCAATCTTCATAGTAACCGAAAAAAAAAGTGCTCTGTTCTGAGAGGGTGTTTTAATGGCCCTGAAATCTGATATTGTCCTACTTCTTCACAACATAACTATTAATATTTGGACAAGATTGTCCCCAATAATCTGGACATCTGTAAATGTTTCGTAGCAGAAACACATATTATCCTAGTAAGGATCCCTTTCTTCTATTGATTTAATTCAAAATTATACAGCACATACATCTATTTTAAGCAACATTCTCATTATATTCTTTAAAATAAATACACTCTGTCTAATATTTTCAATATATTTTAATATACTGTCCTTTGAAGCACACAGTTTGCTACAGATGGGTTTATTGACCTTTTCCTAGCTAATGTCCAAGGAGCAACTTTCCGTTTGGACCCTAATCAAAGAAGGAGTCAGTGAATCTTTGGATAAACAGAGAGAGGTGTACTGAAGGAATCGTATTTTCTGCTATCTTTGTTGATCTGTGTACACCCTATTGGCACACAATAGAGACTAATGGAAGGACAACCTTCTTCTGTGGAGAAAACAGTTAGAGAAACAAAACTCCTGTTTGTTCAAGGTCTGAGAAAAAATCAGAACATTTCTGACCCTCTTAGCAGCCATCTAGGACAACATTATGGGGGCTAACTGAAGAAATTATTTCAACTCAAGTGACCTTTTACTCCTGAAGTCTGGAAGTGATGCTCACCTCTGCAATGGTCGTTTTCCTTCCCATGGTCAGCGAATTCAGCATCACCACTGGGGAGCCCGTCTCTGTACTGTACTTACAGTTCCACTGGGAAAACAACATGCTTTAGGACAAAAACAGTAATAGGTTTACCCTCTCCCCCTCCTCCCACTTTCTAGTGAGGCACTCATAGTCAGTTCGTCATCAAGGCCACTTCCAACATACAGGGTGGTAGCGCTTCTTCTTTGGCAACATGACGTCCAGTGTTGGATTCGTGTACTTGATATAGTGGAACTTGGTGGAACCTGATGGGCTGACCACTCCGTCGGGGCCCAACGTGATATCCTGTGTCCTCTCAAAGGAGCCCTTCACAGTGAGGGAAAGCTCTTTCTCTAAAAGAGCAAAATAAAGGTTGTGAGAAATGTCGCTCTAATTTAACAGGAAAATTGTGCTGGCTTGATTAAAAGTGAGGTACAGGTAGCAGCAGAGCTGAAGAGTTTGGACCATAGCTTTGTCTAGTGGAAAGCACTCTGAAGGGAGTGTTGGTAGTGAAGGGAAAGAAGCAAAGTAAAGGCTGAACTCTGAAAGCTCTCACTATTATATGCAACTGGGATTTTAACTTTAATGTAGGTCTGATAGACCTTATTGATGTACACCTAATAATATGCCATCATTGAAGTTTATAATAACCTAATATGTGTTTATCCGGTGTCAACTGCAATGAATACTGTAAATACTATTTATTCCTTTAATATGTCATATGAAAGGGGCATCCTCTCAACAATAAGCATACAGTTACTGGTAAAGAGATAACAGAGCAATAACCTTACTTGATTTTTGCTGCTTCTTCTCTGCCACTTCAACTTCCAAGCAGCAAAGTTCACGACACTGTAAAAGACAAAGAACAAGAAGCTGTGAGAAAGATGATCACATCCCAGCCTTGTTACGGGGAGCTGTGAATCACTCAGCTTTGGACATATCTAGTTCCCTGAAGTGTCCTGTTCCCTGGTGTTTCTGGGCTTTTGCCTAGTAGCCGCTGACTAAGAAAAAGGAAAAGCTTTGGAGGGAGTCATAGAGCATCCTCCAGTGAAAATGACATATGGCCAGGCACAGTAAGAGGAAGATACAAAGGAAGAAAATCAGGAGCATTTTTCAGGATACTCACATAGATACAAAGGGTTAAAGTGGAAAAACTGTAAATGAAAGACGCTCTGCTGAGCGATCAAGAGTCAGCAGTAGAAAGGGTTTTCAAAGAAGCATTACTATTAGTGTTTTGGGGAGGGTTTTATGGCATTCTTCTTTCACACAATGTAATCGGTCAATACTTAGTGCTGAGCTTACCCACCAGGCGTGGCTCATCTCCCAGGGGAGGAAAGGGCTGGTAGGTTATCAGCAAATGGCTTCACAGTATTTTTACCACTGTGGTTTGATAGACAGCAGTACATTTTTGAAGGAGTACTGGTACCAGAGGAAACCTCTGTGTGTGCGTGTATGTGCACACACATGTGCAGTGTGTTCAAAATATAGGTCAAACGGGAAATAGTGGGATATCACCAATGAAAAAGACAATAAATTATCCCATTCTTAAAGTATCTTAATCAGGAAAGGGTGAAGAAATAGAAAGAACTGGCCTACTGGCTATCTTATAGCTCACAGCTTCTCTAACACCCACCCTCCCTTCCCCTTTGTATTAAGGAAATACTTGTAGAAAATTTCTTGGGGAAAAAGACACATACCACTAGGACTCCATTGGTAGCAATGGCTTCATGAGGACCAGAACTGGGAAACAAAATGGAAAACATGGATTTTTTAGATCAAACAAATGATCACTCATCCTTGCCCAGGATGTTGCTCTTTCTCCCTGCTTTGGAAGAATGATGGTCAGAGGGACCTCAGCAGCAGTACAAGGGGACTTGCCTCTGTACCAAAGCTGAGCGATGTGTATGATGGTTACTTTTTCACAGTGCAATGTCACGATCATCTAAAATGGAATCTGCAGTTAGGTAAATTCTTCTCTTCACTATAACATGTAAAGTATGTGTATTTCAGCAGTAACATGCTATTGTACCAGCACATCCCTGTTGGAAAGCCCAGTTCTATGTATTCGCTGGTATGAAACAATCAAAGGGGCAGAGGGCAGTGGGTACAAATTACATGGTAGAAAAAAAAAGCTTTCCAGATTGTTCAAGTGAAGTCAGGAGATGATGTGGAGTGATTTGAATTCTGATCCTGGCTCCCCACTAGTTTGAGGGCTGATCTCAGGCTTGTCACTTTTTTCTGCTGTGCTTCAGTTACCTCGTAGCAACATCGAGACAAAAATACTGACTCATATGGACTGCAGGCTGACCATGCTGGAGGAAAAGCCCGGCACTAGAACTTCCAACACATCATCATTGTGTTGGACAGAAAGACAACAGAATTACTAGGACAAAAACAGCACTGCAAGGGAAAATCAAAGGAGTCAGAGATACACTGGGAACCTTACCCAAGTGGTTCAGCATCAGGAGTCTGTACAGTGTATAAGCTGAAATAGGTGTGGGAAAATTGATAGACATGCACACGCATACAAGCTCATGCACACACTATCAGAAAGTCTTCTGAAAAGTGCCCAGCCGACATTGTGTATAGGAGACACAATGCTGGGAGGTGTGTCTTTGAAAGAGACCAAACTACAGAACAAACTGACTGGGGAATCAGATGGGTGTCTCATTCCAGCAGAGACTGCAGTAAAGATGTAGGAGAAGTCTGCCACTTTTTTGCAGATATCCCACGCAATGTGACTTCTAATGCTGGTTTTGTGTTTTAGCATTTAATGATTTTTGCATTTTTAAAAGAATCCGTATATCACTTACGCGGCCTCCAATTTGAACTCAACTTCTAGCTCCTCCTTGGCCTGAAAACAAGAATAAGAGATTAAATGAAGTAGCTATGCAACGCTTTCTCCCTTGTCTAAACCCAAGGCCCTGGTATGCAATATTGAAGTAATTGGTTGCAATGCACAGCCTGTGATAAATATTTCAACCTGGAAGATCTGAAAAAACATTCCAAAACAGTTTAATGATTCCTTCCTCATCTCCTTCCTTCTACAAGGTATCACCAAAACAACCTGCACTTTTAGTATGAAGGTGCTCTAGGAAGACAATTTGCAACCTGTTTTGTCTTCTGAATTCTACTGTTTTCTCCTATTTATTCCTGGCACTGTCCTTGCTATTAACTTGGAAGTTAAAGACACTTTCCACCCATTGCTTTAACATAATAAATATAATAAACAGAGATCGGTATTATTGAGTGATTCAGAGCTACAGTTCTGCAATCCCCCTGTAAGGCAGCATAGATATGTATGAGCCAGTTGTGAGTGACCTAGTTTGGGTACAGGAAGCAATCTGCCCATGGTAGCAAGAAGTTGTATACGAGATATTTCACTGATCTCATCCGTAGATCTCAAAGGGAATCAAGACTCTTTTTTCCTATTTTGCAGATGGGAAATAGAGAAACAGAGTGAGTCAGTCATTCAGAGCTCCAAACCGCACTAATTCCAATAGGTAAGTCAACAGGCTCAGCCCTAGAGGTATCACTGCAGTGCGCTGCAGGGAATGGTGCTGTGACACACACACAGGGGTAACTTCAGCTTTGCCTTTGAGGTGAAAGTAGATACAATGAAAGGGGCAGAGGGTAGTGATTATGAATAACACAGGTAAAAAAATTTACAGATTGTTCACCCTGCAGCATCTGTGCAGCCTTGGTGTCACTCAGGGGTAGCTCAACATCAGATCTCTCTCCTACCTACCGCACTCTTTCAGCCCTATGCTCTTTAATAATTTACAAGAATACTCAGAGGAGAGGTTCAGGCGCTCAAATCCAAATTTTTTTACTACATTTTTTGTATTTATATTTCAAATGGCAATTCATGTACTCATTATTGGGATAGGTCATCCATGGTGGATTCAGAAGGCTCACTCCAAGATTTTGAACGTGTTGTATAACTCTCCACTGGTTTGTTAGTTGCTTCATTTTAAGCCCCTACCTGATCTACATGATGGAGTCACATGGCTGCTGGACCAGTGACAAACTGGAACAACAATGCCTAAGTTCAGCCCCACAAAATAAACCAAAGATACTTTGCCAAGACTGTCAACTAATACTGACTTCCAGTGCTCAGGCAGCTGTAGCTGAAAGGGACTGCTCCATGGAAGATACCACAGAGACAAGCTGCAATATGCATTGCCAGAGACATGGGAGCAGGGTAAAGCAATGCAATATATAGGCCATGAAACAGAAGTACATTAAAATGTATAGTTCTGGCTTGAAAACTCAGGTAAGTGTGTCCTCTACACCCTCTCTTGCCAGATCTTGCAGGCACTGATCTCATGGTCTCACCTGTGGGCTGGGCTTAAAATACAGGACCACTGTTCTTTCAATTGGAAGTTTAGCAGTATCGAAGAGCGCACACAGGAGATGGTCATCTGGAGTAGCAAAATCCTCATCATACACTGTCAGCTCCAGCACGTTCTGGAAAAAGAAGGAGAAGAGTTTTTTATT